TGAAATTCTGATTGCAGACCAGCCTAGAAGCCGGGCGCAACCTCAACCACCAACTGCCCCTTGCATGCCCACCCTTTTTATACCCCTGCTTAAGTCCACCGATAGCGGACACGACGCAGGGACAGGAAAAAAAAATGTGCACAACGCTGTGTGTACCCTGCTCTGGTGGAACGGATCGCAGGAAATTCGCGACAACTATGCTAGGGATACGAAAATAGCAATTGGAGCAAACACTGGCAGAATCACGAATCACGAACGCTGAAGACCAAGTTCCACGCCATACATCATCTTGGTCAGATTCGCTTAAGATCAGCTTACTTCCGCAGAGTCACCACAGCCTTCGGGTAGCAGGCCTTGACAACAGCCCCAATGTCTTCCTTCTCGCCTTAACAGACCACTCAACCGCCTTTTCCAGAGCAACTTGGCTCTCGCGCTCCAGCGGAGTGAAGTGGCCCGACAGAGGAAGCTCGACAAGCTGACTGTCCGCGACGAGATAATCCGAGATACCATCCAAGCAAATCTGCGGCTCCAAGGCAATGTCGGCCTTGCCCCAAAGGATGGTTGCACTGGCTTTCAAGGCGCCCTTGGGTCCGTCGTCAAACAGTCCAGCCCCGTTGCCGCCACTGATGCTGTGCAGGTCGGTAATCGTCTCAACAGACTTGTTCCAGCGCGCGATAGAAGTCCCATCCCTGTAGTAGCAGGCCATGTGCTGAAAGCTCGACGGTGCGCGCTCATTCTTCAGTGAAGCCGGATATTCCTCACCATCGGCGGTTTGAGTGCTGGATTCGGTAGTTGACGGGCCCATAGTGCTTGCCAGACACTCGGCAGCATCCTGAGAAGTAAACTCCCGCCTTCCGTAAGAAGACCTGTGGATGATTTTCAAGAAGGAATAATAACCCCCTCTACCCAAATACCGAACGAGAAACATAGGGAGCTGGAAAGCGAAGATGTACTTAGACCTCCACACTTGCCGAAACACGGGGCCCAGAGTCGAAAACGCCTTGGAGAACATTGAGCGTGAACGGATCGGATCGCGCGAAGCAGTTTTAACCATCTTGACCGACGTGGAGATGAGACGACGAACATTGGAGGCAGAGTGTCGAGGCTAGCTTCATTAGCACAAGAAGAACACAAACGAGAGCTTTGAGATAGCATACCAAAGGCCCGTTAGTCAAGATAACCGGTCCGCCAACTGAGGAGCCTCAGCAGCAAGTCGCATCGAAACAACACAACCCCAGTCATGCGCGACAATAGTCCAGTTTCTTCTGGCGGGGACCAGCCTCAGTATCCACGCCATATTTAGCTCTGATCGCGATGACGAATTCCGTCAAACTCTCGAGCACATTCGTGGCAGAGTATTCCTCGAAGCTGTCACTGCCTCCATAACCGGGCATGTCGACCGCAACCAAAGTCGCGGACTCCTGGAGAGACGACGAGCTTAGGACATGGCGCCAGATGGCCCAGCTATCCGGGAAGCCGTGGATGAAGACGACCACCGGTTTCGCCTGGTCCGCGGGCCCCCGGTTCCCAGAATCATTGCAAACATAATGGAATTTGAACCCGCTTCGCAGAGTAAGTATGTGATGGGCAAACCCGACCAATCCTTCGACAGATTCCAAAACTTATCGCGAGCTGAATCCGTCAGATGCAATCAGCTCAAGCCCATACTTCAGGTGAGAAAAAGAAAGCCACCACTCAACCAAACCCATACCAGCACAATTACTCACCAATCTGCAATTCCAAGTTCTCCTTCTCAGTGGGTTCCTTGAAGAGATATCCCAACCGCACAGCTACGAGTCCATAGTAAAGAAGACCGGTAAACCCATATGCCAGCACCATGAAGGATTTCAGCTTGTTAAGCAGCCAGGCTGCCATGATGCGAATCTCGAGCAACTATACCAGCGCTCGTTTCTAAAAGGTGCGCTGGAGAGACGAGACAAGAGGGGAAGAACAAAAGGAGCATTGGCGGATCCTGCGAATTTATATGTAGTCAGAGCAATGTCAATGCACCGGCCAGACTAAGCCGGATATGATGTTAAAGGGGGCGGAATCGCGGTTCTTGGCTTGGGCATGGTGGTAGTGGTGGGCAAGCACTGAAACTAGTACAATTGTCGTCGGCGGTCCGGAGTGGACTGGAACTGGAAGAGGTCTCCGCCACCAGCGCGGAGGGCAGCGCCGGTGACCTAATTTCCCGCTCTGCTGGACCCGCAGCATGTGATGGGGACCACAATTGATTAGGCGTCGTCTCAGAACCACCTACTTTGGTGTCGGGATTTCTTCACAAGTCGTCACCCATCCGAGGGCATATGCTTGCATAAAACTAGGTACATATCCGCCATTTCGCCACCATATACACACAAAACTAAAAATACAACTTCGAGCCCAAGATAATTCGTGTCGTCATAGCAAAGGCACCCGGACTCCATAGATATCATTCGATCGTCAAAACATCAAGGGATATAAGAACAGATATGAGAAAAAGTTGGCAGCTGTCATACATGCTAAGGCGAAAACCCCAGGTTTTGCCTGTTGTCGTCTACTAGGCGCCCGTACCTGTAAAGCTCAATGTCAGAAAGTGCAGTCAAGTGCTTGAAGAGTTTACTTACTCGAGTAGTAGCCTGAAGAACCAAACCTCCATATCTTCATTGCGAAGAGCTTTTTGTGCCCATTCCCGGCCTTGTCGGGCGAGTTTGGGTGCAATCACCTTGCCCTCATCTTCTAACTCGAAGTACCGCACGGCCTCGAGATAATCATCTCCGGTCAAACTCAGAGGTACGTAATGGGCCCAGGGTTTGAGCCACTCATCGTGCCACTCGCGGAAGATCGACATTTTATAGACCAGGCTTTTGCTGTGCAAGAAAGCATAAAAACGACCACTGAAGGCATTTCCATCCATGTCTAGCAGATGCTTGTACGCCCAAGCGTCTTGCTGAACAACCGGCTCCGCAACGTCAAAGTACTCCCTTTGGGCAGCACAATCCTCTTCGTCACATTGGCCAATATACGTAAACCGAATGTCGAAAAGATCGGCAAAAGAGTTCCGGCCAACACCCCTGGCCTTCCATTGGCCATTTTCGGCCTCACCAAGTACCTTGGCTGTATTTAGAGCATTAACGTTGCCGACAAATAATTGTCGATGCTGCCGTCGCCAGCCTCCGGCTCTTGAGTATCCTCCAGTCGTTGAGCCCCTCCAGTACATCTTGCTAATCTTCTCTTCCCACTCGAAATCCTTGTCTTCTTCATAAGGTACCTGATCAGCCCAATACCAGGGGCTAGGGTAGAGAATGTCCTGGTAGCTAGATATTTTGCTTTGCGAGAAGACTGGAAACAGGTCATGTACAGCCTCAAACATGTTCGGTCGGTCGAAGAATCCATATTTGTAACGGAAGGAAGGCGAATTGCAAATATCGGAGAAGGCAGTCGCGTTGTAGATAAATCCTAGCTCACCGCGCGCGTAGGAATTGATATTGTCCGCAGCTTGCTCGTCAAGAGACCGAACTGGGCTGTCGACCGGACAGGAAGACCGGGAATAACTCCAGGTGGACTGATGGGTGAACCGGTTGAAGCGGGTGGTGCGCACTTCATCAATGCGATCGCCTTTGTTCAGATCGGATGATCGATCTGACCAGACGTTCGTTGGCATGGTATTTGCAACAGTGTCTTGGGAGATCCGATCTTTAGCAATAGCAACTAGCCTCTGAAGATCCTCGTTTGGTACGATGACTCGAGGCTCATCGAGAGCATTGAATACAAGATCCATATCAGGCAGATACTCGACAAAGGTCTTGATCATCTTGACAGTGGCGCTGCGCTGCCAGCTCTGCTCATAGGCCCCTCCTTCCGCCAGCGACACCGAGCCATTTCTGATGAGTATCCCGATCATGGAGTTGTCGAAGCCCAAGGTCTCCCGGGCCCGCTCGCGAATAGTCTTCGGTTCAAGGGCCCAAAATGGCAGCAGGGCATGGTAGATCGTATCATACTCATCGATGAGCTGCACCCCTCTATCCTTAGCAAATTGGAACCACTTGTCAAAATGCGGGGGAGGATGCATGTTGTAGCGAGTGCGATATTCGGTGACAGCCTGGGCCAGGGTCTTCGATTGGCGTGCCAGTAGCCGATCGGAATGCTGCTCAGCATTCTCGACAAGCGATGCAATAGGATGAATCCCGTCTGGTTGAGCAACCTTGCGGTTGGTGGTCTGCTCAATAAGCTGCGCATTGGGCGGGATTGCAGGCCTCTGGAAGATAGCCGAAGGACGAGGATCAGGCGAAGGAAAAACATTCACTGCAGGGGAAGGATTAGATCCTCTGAAGCAAATGAGAAACAAGGAGACCAGAACAAAGGTCCCAAGCCAGACCACAGATCGTTGGGTTCTCATCCTGCCATCAGGTAGCTCTATACATGAGATGAGACTCGAGAGGGATGGGCACGGTTGTTTGTAAACAACGGGAACTAGTAGTTGCCCGGTAGCTTATAGATGCAAGAGCCTACTACAGTAAAACACGGTTATAAGCAATTATATGAGACACGCCACCAAATTGCTTATATCGAGGTCTTCCTTATATTGAATATTCTACCTAAAGTAGCCACGAATATCACTTTGCTGCGTGTTTAACACCTTTCTTCGAAGAATATCACGTTCCTGGCATGCTAGCGAGTGTAGAGATGCTTGATTAGCATCATTTTGTTGTTCTTCGTACAAGCGGAGGTCATATAATGCCTGCAGGGCCCTAGTAGATGATATAAATGGTAGAGGCTCTATCATTTCATCATCCTCTTCAACCTCATCTTCAACTGCAGTGTACTGGCTTAGAACAACATCATCAATATCAGTAGTTGCATCATGAACCTGCTCTTCTAAAGGATTCAAGAACTGGTCAAGCTGCATCATATCTTGAATCCGTGCAGTATTCTGCAACTTCTGTAGACTAGCAGTCAAATCATGTAGGATAGCAGAGTCAGGCATAGGATTATAAGTGTCATCTGAAAGCGCGCGTGTAAAGCAGTGGCGGATTGTATCATCTTTCAAATCAAGATTCCATGCAGATATTGACCAACGGAGCGCTTGCAAAAGGTTCATCGTAGTTATAGGATCGTATCCCCGGTCATATTCAGTCATCATATAAACCAGCCATTGCCGTTTCCAGTAAGCCTTCCAGGTCCGGATGATGCCTTGATCAAGTGGCTGGTATCGTGATGTTGAATTGGGTGGCAGCCATATAATCAGAGTATTTGATAACTGTGATTTAACCTCTTCGTACGCAGCAAGATAAGATGAGAAGTTATCACATAATAAAGCAACCTGCCGGCCAACCATTCTCTGGTCAAACCAAAGAAGCCATTCTTTGAAGATTGCAGTAGTCATCCAACTCTTTCGATTGCTTCGCCATTTGCAACCTAGATTCTCTGGGTTTATACCTGCTGCTTGGAAGACTCGAGGCTTCTTTGCTGTACCAATAAACCATAAAGGAAGGCGCTCAGAGGCATCAGCATTGCAGCAGAAGTGTATACTGATACGTGCCTTATCTTTCTTACGTCCAGGGATTGAACGCGTAGAAGACCACGATCCGGAGGCATTCTCCAATATAAGCCAGTCTCATCACAGTTGAAGATATCACAAGGCGCGTAACACGTAGTGCTTTGCGTATCAAGATCATCTGGTCTTCAGCATCATTTCCCAGTGTTATCTCCCTGCCCTCTCCGTATTGCTTGAAATTCTTGATATTCTTCCTATATTGGAAGCCTCGAAGCCAACCGTTGCTGAATGACGGCATCATCTTATCAGGATAAATAATCGGCCAGTATTGCTTTGCTTTCTCGCGTATGACTTCTTGTGAGATAGTAATATAGGATTGCGCGCGTTCAAGCCAGTCAATAACTGCTGCCTCTAGCTCTGGCCACAACTCTGTTCGACGTCGTTTATCATTCAATCGGTGGTCGGGAATAGCATCAAGATAATCACATCGGGGAGACAGGATACGGGATACGGAGGAGGGAGCAATCCGCTGGTTGTACGTGGCTTCGAACCACTTGATAAGGTCGATATTAGTGAGCTGAGGCTTCAACTGGTGTTGAGTGCGTAGAGCAGCTTTTTGGCTGTTAGAAATGCAACATCGCGTTTGTTTGGAGGTCTGCTTTGGCATGATTCCTGAATAATGACGTTCAAATTAGCTATTCCGAGCATCCAATAT